TGGATACTGTTGTCTGTACCCATGTGCTTATGGAAAAGTTTTTTGAGCTTTTAGAAAGAATTTTAAGCTAATTAAATTTGAGTTTATATGTTATCTGTATGTAAACCTATCGATGGCTTAAATATGGCATACAACAAGGTACTTTAGTTGTTCAAGGTAAATGCTTTCCTCCTGCTATGTATTTTTATTTCAGCCTAGATATGATTCCTAGAGAGGCCACTGATCAGGAATTTTCATGCTTAACTGGTCATACAAAAAATATAGTCAGCTGTTAGAAGAAGGTCCTCAAAATACCTGCATAAACTTCTCTCCAAATAAACTGTTTAACAGCTGAGATAATTGAGGAACACTTCTGCATCAGTATATAAATTCTGACATAAAACTACGCAAATAAAGTTTTCTGTACACTCGAGAAGCAACTATAGACAGAAATACAACAAAAAGAAATTACTTTCAAGCTCTCTCCATGGAAAGCATGAGTGGCCAATTTGCGCAGATTAATCCATTTTCCATCCCTAGCTGCCACAAGTCCGCCCCCAAAGATTTTCTTTGAATAAAAGATTGCAGCTCAGACTTGAGGTAATTTCCATCTTTGTTGTTCAGTATCTCTTTAACCTGTTCAGGTTCTGCGACTTCCAATTGTGCTCCACTGCCTTTCCACCAAAAGAAATCCTTTCCTGCAGCAAAATATGGTAGAGATAAAATTAAACATGAGGTTGAACTCGAGGGAATGGTTGATGGCATAATTTCATGGGCTTGCTTATGGCCTCTTTTGTCAAGTCGAAGACCTCTTTCAAGTTTCCATGAAGGAATCTGAAAGAAGGGCATTCAACTCCTTTTGAGTGCAAGGCAGACTGTACGTAAATTGGAGTCTGTTAAGGAACGTGATGATAATCAAAATTAAGCAGAGGCATACACAACTTGAAAGGAACATTATCGTGGTTCCCATGGTAACCACGGCCATGCTTCATTTGTTGGTGGGAGAAACCACTTGTGGTGGCTTTCGGATATTTCCCAAAAATACCTCTGTTTTCTGACGAACGGGGCTCTGATACCAATTGTTGGTGGGAGAAACCACTTGTGGTGGCTTTGAAACACTCGGAGGGGATAAAACACACTCTTTTATTTCAAGAACAAAGTTTACAATAACATAAACAAAAGCTTACAACAACCCCTCTCTCTTTCTCTCTTTCTCTCTAGTGTTTCTCTCAATCTCTCCACACATAATTGCATAAGCTTAGCTATCTATTTATACACGAAATCAAAACAAGAAAATTCAACCTTCAAGTGTGAAGGCGGTTTTTGGCCGACGATGTGAAAGCGGCTGGCGGCCGGTGGCTGGCGGCTGGTGGCTGGTCGGTTGGTGGCTGGGCGGTGATAGCTGGTGGCTGCCTTCCTTGACTTTCTGGATTGAGTTTACTTCAACAAATCTCCCCTTTAAACTCAATCGAGGGATGTCATGCCAAGCATGAACTTCATTCTGATAAATGTTTCTTCCTTCAATGGCTTTGTATTTTTGCACTTCTCCTTTTGCATTCTTCTTTGTCTTATAGACCCATTTGACACCTATTGCTTTCTTGTTTTCTGATAGATAAGTCAGCTTCCAGGTATCATTCTTCTCAATGGCATGTATTGCTTCATCCATTGCTTTTATCCACTTCTCTTCTGTGATAGCTTCATTGAAGCTAAGTGGGTCACTATCTGCAAAGAAACAAAATAGAGTTGTATCTTCCATTACTTGAGTGGCATCGTACAACTCGTCTAGATTTCTCATCTTTCTTGGTCCTTCTGATGAGGATGTTGATGATGGTTCTGTTGATGATGGTGTTGATGATGATTCTGGTGTGTTTCTCCTGTTGAATACAGGAAATCTGTGTACCGGACTTTGTGGCTCGTCTGCCGGTACTATCGGACCTTCTACAAGTACTGTTGGTACTTCTTCGTCTTCAAGGATCAAATCAATGCTGATCCATTTGACTGCTTCTTGGTCATCATTCCATTGCCAAGTTTTATCTTCTTCAAAGATAACATCTCTGCTCATAATTACCTTTTTGGTGATGGGATTATACAGCTTGTATCCCATTCTTCTCTCACCATATCCGACAAAGATACATTTCTCGCTTTTATCATCAAGTTTGGTCCTTCTTGCATCTGAGATCTTTGCATATGCCATACAACCAAAGACTCGAAGATGAGTAACACTTGGTTTGTGACCACTCCATGCTTCTTGTGGAGTGACAGCTTGCAAACTTCTGGTTGGGCAGCGATTCAGCAAATATACTGCACATGATACAGCTTCAGCCCAGTATTGCTTGGGCAGCTTCTTTGCTTCGAGTAGACTTCTTGCCATATCAAGAATTGTTCGATTCTTCCTCTCAGCTACACCATTCAGTTGTGGTGTATAAGCTGGTGTTGTTTGATGTCTGATGCCTTGTTGTGTACAAAAGGCTTCAAAGTCATTTGCTGTATATTCTCCACCTTGATCAGATCTCACGGTTCTGATCTTATAGCCACTTTGCTTCTCAACAATTGCTTTAAAATCTTTAAAACAATTGAACACTTCTGACTTCCTCTTCAGAAAATATACCCAAGTCTTTCTGCTAAAATCATCAATGAAAGTGAGGAAGTACCTATTTTGTCCAGTCGACATAGGCTTTATAGGACCACACACATCTGTGTGTATTAACTCTAGTGGCTTGTTTGCTTTCCAGTTGACTTCTTTGGCAAAACTGGATCTGTGATGTTTGCTGAGGACACAACTCTCACAGACTTCTTCTGAATGATCAATGTGGGGCATACCTTTGACCATCTTCTTGCTTGCTAGCATCTTCAGACTTGTGAAATTCAGATGTCCAAGCCTCAGGTGCCAAAGCCATTCTTCACTGTTGGTGATGGCACTCAAACACTTTGCTGCATCATATTGGATGTTTAAAGGAAACATCCTATTCTTGGACATTTTCACATAGGCAATTAATCTCCCATTGTAGTCTGTAATTGTCAGATGACAATTCTTCATGTAAAGTGTATAACCTTTCTCCAGAAGTTGACCTATACTCACCAAGTTCTGCTTTATGTCTGGGACATAATAGACATCGGCGATGTAGCTTTGATCGCCATTCTTCAACTTGATTGGAATGTTGCCTTTACCTTTGAATGGAACTTTTGAGGTATCTCCAAAGGTGACAAAACCTTGTATGGTCTCATCTAGATCACCAAATAAATCTCGTTGGCCACACATATGATTGCTGGCTCCAGAATCAAGATACCAAATATTCTCTTGATTCTTGTCAAGTCCTTGTTGGACAAATAATGCAGCTGCTCCTCTGTTGTTGGCATTCTCCTCTGCATAGTTGACTTGCTCACGTATCTCCAGTGAAGCTTTCTTTTGACATTCAGTGCTATAGTAGCCAAATTGATTGCAATTATAACACTGAATATTCCTCTTATCACGGTTATTGTAACCGCCTCCTCTTCCTCTAGGAGTGAATGCTTGTTGTCCTCGACCTCCTCTGGTGGTGTTTCTACCACCTCTTCCTCTAAAACCTGTATTCCAAGAACCTCTGCCTTGAAATCGTTGAAATCCTCCTCGTGTTTGTTGACTTCTTCCTCGAGTGGTGTATCCACTTGTTGAAGTCTCCCCTTGCTCATATCTGTCTTTGAGAGACAACTTTGCTTGTAAGGCATGCTCAATTGCCTTATCTCCATTTCTTTTTACAATCTTCTGCTCATGAGCTTGCAAAGAACTCATAAGTTCATCCACTGTTAACTTGTCCACCTCTTTGGACTCTTCAATAGCGACAATAACAAAATCAAATTTTGGATCTAGGGATCTCAAAATTTTCTCAGTAATTCGAGCATCTGAAAGCGCTTCTCCGTTTCTTCTCATCTGATTGACTATCACCATAATTCTTGTGTGATAATCAGAAATGGATTCTGAGGACTTCATTTGTAACAATTCAAATTCACCTCGTAAAGATTGGAGACGAATCTTCTTTATTCTGTCAGCACCTTTGTATTTTTGTTGGAGAGCCTCCCATATTTCTTTTGATGTTTCTGCGGAAGCAATGATTTCAAATGTCGCTTCATCAAGACCTTGATAAATGATGGTCTTTGCTTTGTTGTCTTTTTTTATATTGGCTTTGAGGACTTGCTTTTGTACCTCTGGTAAAGCATCTTCTGATTCTTTCGACTCTGGTTCATCATAACCATATTGCACAATGTCTATACACTCTTGTGAACCAAGGAATGCCTTCAATCTGATGCACCAACTATCATAGTTGTCTTTGGTTAGGTTCGGGATGAGTGTTTGTGCACTTTCTGTAGTCATTTTGCTCTTTAAATGACTATATCACCTTTTTGGGAGTTGAATTTGGCAAAACCGACACCGTAGATGGATCCGGAATGGTCCAAATAGTAGGGAACCGGTCTGACTTTGTAGAAAACGGGTCAAAAATGAGGTGAACCGGTCCAAAAACCAATTCGGGTGGTTTGCTGGGTTGAACCGGGAATATTCCAAGGAATATTCTTTTTTGACTTTGACTTTAGAATATGGCTCGGAGCTTGGCTTGGCTTTGGAATATGGCTTGGAGCTCGGCTCGGCTTCGAAATATGGCTTGAGGCTCGGCTCGGCGCGGCTCAAATATGGCGCGCGTGTGGCTCACTCGTCTTCTTCCTCGGGCGCGTGGGCTACAGTGCTGAAATTTCAGACGGAGAGTGTGGTCCACCCCGTGCTCCGATTGATCTGATTTTTGCACCGTTGAGTTCGTATTGATGAGCTCTACACTTTGGAATGATCAAAACTTGTTTTTGACAACTTTGAAAATTCGGATATTTCCCAAAAATACCTCTGTTTTCTGACGAACGGGGCTCTGATACCAATTGTTGGTGGGAGAAACCACTTGTGGTGGCTTTGAAACACTCGGAGAAGATAAAACACACTGTTTTATTTCAAGAACAAAGCTTACAATAACATAAACAAAAGCTTACAACAACCCCTCTCTCTTTCTCTCTTTCTCTCTAGTGTTTCTCTCAATCTCTCCACACATAATTGCATAAGCTTAGCTATCTATTTATACACGAAATCAAAACAAGAAAATTCAACCTTCAAGTGTGAAGGCGGTTGTGGCCGACGGTGTGAAAGCGGCTGGCGGCCGGTGGCTGGCGGCTGGTCGGTTGGTGGCTGGGCGGTGACAGCTGGTGGCTGCCTTCCTTGACCTTCTGGAGCGGGCGGCCGGTGGCTGGCGGCATGCAGCTGGCGGCTGGTGGCTGGTCGGTTGGTGGCTGGGCGGTGATAGCTGGTGGCTGCCTTCCTTGACTTTCTGGATTGAGTTTACTTCAACATCATTGAGTATGTACAGGGTTAGAACATCTTCTTCTTTTAGCTATATAACTTTCAATAAGGATTTTTTTTTTTTTTGTATAAAGAAGAGGATTTAGACTATTTAACTTATTCTTTAATAGAACTTTTTTCTCAACAATTTAAGTATAATTTTGGGGTTTGTGAAACTTTAGTTTTATTTTTTATATATATAAATTATGTCAATTGATATTATAACAGACTGACATGCTTGATGAAAAGAGATCGATATTGACAAATATCATCCCATCTCGCAATGCAAATCAAAGAGCGGAGATCGTTTAAGATACTCTGAGAGCTCAAGATAGTGCAAATAACTAGAGAATTGATCGGTTGAAGTTTTTGGTAGTAAACTTAACTAGGCAATGGGATCAAGGTACAAACATGGATGATGATGAAGAAGGACATGACTAAAGACATACCTCTAGGAAGACAAAACCCAAGTCATCCTACCTAGTGATATTGATCAACTAAATAAAGGTTAGGGCACTATGAAAGTTAAAAAGTTAGTGCAGCGAACTAAAGTTAGCGCAGAGAACTTTGTCATAAAGATTTGATAATTGGAGTGTTTAGTAGAGACTTAATTGAGGACTAGATCAATTATTAATGGAATGTGCATATAGGGATCATAATGAGGAGAGAGACTTGCACAAAGTCTTACATAGGTTAGACAAAACCTAGAGATTGCTAAAAACAAAGTAAAAGTTGTAAAAAAAAACAACTGGTGAGATCATTGACTAGGTCATTACCTGTGTAGTTAAAGTTTGAGTCTTAATTTTTCATATAGACCAATAATTAGTGCAATATTAAAGTAAAACACGCTTCCTAGTTAAGTAACACCAAAAGTGAGAATATTTCGCGTTTTCTTTTAAAATTTGTCCTTAGTCATTATATACCATTGAAAAATAGTTCATCGAAAGCCTTCGGGACGCACGAAGAGATACCCCCACTAAGAGATGAATTTTGATTAAAAATTTCAAGCAACCTTGCACTGAAGTAACAAATGGTCTGGAGTCTTTGCAAAAAAAAGGATAACAAGATTGATCAACTGGAACTAACAGTCTGCTAAAAAAGAAAGGGTTTTGTATATAATCTATTTTGCACAGCTAGCCATAAAAATGTCTGAATCTTTAGAGGGGCTGCAGAATCCCAGATGTTTGGCGTAAAAGAGCAAGTTCCATGATAATCCAACCCACCAATTAGTGTATTGCAAGATTTAACTGAAAATCTCCCATCTCTTTCAATATCGATCCAGATTTTAGCATCTGGTTTCCATTGAAACAACTGAATCTCGTTTAGAAAGCCTTGCAGTGAAAAAACTTGATCAAGCTCAAAAGCCCTTAAAATTCTATCGTCCAACCCAACTGCCAAGTCCAGAATCCATTATACCATGAGCCCATGTTCGAAATTGTCACAAGCTACCCAGCAGACAATCTGTACAATCTACCGTGTTTATGCTTCAGCGATGAACCTCCCAACCACGTATCATTCCAAAAGTGAACAGACTCGCCATTCCCGACTACTGATTACTAATCTAATAAGCCAAAAACTGTTACCTGTTTTATTGTGGATTGTACCGTATACTTAACAATAAAACATTAAATTATTTATTTATCTTATCTTGTTTTGTTTTGTTTTTCATTTTAAGCTGTGATGTTTTTTTTTTTTTTTAGCTTTTTTTCCCTGTTTTTTTATGCCTTTCAGGTTTTTTTTGTTTCTTTTTAATAATTATTTTTATTTAATTTAGTTTGTTGATGTTAATTTTTTTAATTTAATTATCAAACTTTTATGATACGAATTTCGAGTTTAACAGATTAACTTGATTTGAAGAGTTAACCCAGATTTCTTTTGCTTTTTTTTTTATTAATTTTTTTTTGTTTATCTTAGTTTGTTAATGTTAAATTTTTTTTTATTTAGTTATCAAATTTTCATGACATATATCTCAGGTTTGATGGATTAACTTGATTTCATGGGTTAACCCAGTTAATTATGAGTTAAGCCGTCCATTTTTTTTTTGTTTTTTTTAATAATTTTTTTATTTAATTTAGTTTGTTAATGTTAAATTTTTGATATTTAGTTATTATACTTTCATGACACGAATCTTGGGTTTAATGGGTTAACCTGGTTTGACGAGTTAACTCAAAGTTTTTTTTTTCTTTTATTCTTTTTAATTAATTTTTTTTCATTTAGTTTAGTTTGTTAATGTTAAATTTCTATTTATTTAGTTATCAAAATTTCATGATATATATCCTGGGTTTGACGGGTTAACCCGTTAATTTTTTTTATTTAATTATCAAACTTTCATGATATGAATCTCATATTTGACGGGTTAACATATCAAACCAGGTGAATTTAGTTAATTCAGATTTTTTTTCTTTTTATTCATTAGGTTTTTTTTCATGTTGGCTTTTTTCATTAATTTTTTTTTTAATTATTACACTTTTATGACACAACTTTACAGTCAGACCCACATTCAAAGCTATTGGGTCTGGTGTTGTAGCCAGAGTCACTTAAATTTGAATCATGTAAATTTAATAATATTATAAATATTACTCTTGGATCAATTGTTGCTGTTAGACCCAAGGCCTTTAAGTATATTTTGCAGAAAGACTTAACACTCTTAGATCTTAGTATTTTTTATATTTTTTATACAAGAAAAAAATATTAACCCGTGGTGTATGTCTTTTTTTTTTCTTTTTAAGCTTTTTATTGTGAACTGCACAGTGCAGTTCATAGTGAAAAAGTTAATGTTTTTAGTTTTCTTTTTCTTTTTTTTTATTAATTTTTTTAATTTAATTTCTTAATATTAATTTTTTTCTATTTAATTATAAGACTTTAATGACATGAATCCCAAATTTAATAAGTTAACCTGGTTTAACGGGTTAACCCAATTAATTCAGATTTTTTTCTTTTTCTTCATTAGTTTTTTTCTTCGTGTGACCCTTTTTCTCTTTGTCTTTCCATTTTTAAGTAATCTTTATTTTTTTTAATTTAGTTCATTAATATTAATTTCACACTTTTATGACACGGATCTCAGGCTTAATGGGTTAACCTGATTTGGAGGGTTAACTTAGTTGATTTAGATTTATTTTTTTTCATTAGTTTTTTCTTCTAATTTTTTTTTTAATATTGTATGCAGTTTATGGTAAAAAAAACTTATGCCTTTGGTTTTAGTTTTTTTTTTTATGTCCTTCGTTGTGGACCGCATAATGTAGTCTACGGTGAAAAGGTTGATGATTTTTTTTTTAATTTAGTTTGTTGATATTAAATTATTTTCTATTTAATTATTAGTCTTTCATGACACGGATCTCAGGTTTGATAAGTTAACCTAGTTAATTTAGATTTTTTTTCTTTTTTTTATTAGTTTTTTTTCTTTCTATAGTTTTTTTTTCTTTTAACCCAGTTAGTTTATTTCTTTTTCTTTTTTTTTCTTTTTTATGCCTTTTACTGTAGACTGCATAATGCAGTCTATAGTGCTGATGGTACAGAAGTTCTCTCTCCAATTGTTCTGTCAAATGCCACTCCTTATAAAACTTTCTTGGTAAAATTTGAATTCTGTTCTTCCATCATTTATTTTTCTGAGATGGACAGCCTATTGAGTTTGTAAAAGCGATACTGGAAATATCATGTATACCGAGCTTTTGTTTTTAAATTAACTTATGTCCTAAACAAACTTTGATTTTGGTGATGTATTATGCATTTATGGCACAGGAATTAGTCCCTAACAATACCCTTCCTGATGATTTTACCCGTGCCCTGAAGTACTCTGACTATAGCTCTGTAAGCTTGATTTTTTTACTTGAAATTTCTGTCATACATGCGTAGCTTGATTCTATTTAGACCCAATCTTCATGGTTCCGCAAACAAATACAGGCAACTACAAAGATTAATCTAGCTGTTGATAAACTCCCCCAATTTCAATGCTGCAAGTTGAATCATCCTGATGCTGGTCCTCAGCACGTGGGCACTATTCATATTGGTTCAGAGAGGTATCCTTTTAGATCTGCAGTACTGTTCTGTTGATTCTTGACCTAATCTATAAGACTCTTGATTTTTAAGTTTTAAAGTGGGCATTGAGACCCAAATAGAGTAGAAGGATCATAACCCAATCATGGGCCAAAATTTTCTTCTAGTTTTCTGCTAGCTGATCTCAATTTAGGGAGACACTAGAACTTGCATGGTGATGTAATTGATTGATTTAGCCAGCTTTTCTTTTGCTGCTGTTTGTATAATGTGTTTCAGTTTGTTATTTGTTAGAATTGAAACAGGAAGTAGGGGTGTGTATACTGAACAGGTAACTCATTTCTGCTGATTTTCTTACTAGTGACATCAAGCTGGAAAGAAATAGATGTAATCATGCAAAAAGTTCTTAGCAATAGAGTTGGATATCTTGTAGAATTACTGGTCGTTACAATGGTGGCTGGAAAAAACATCCAGCCCAGTGGACAACTACTGAAAACTGTAAAACATTACTGGATGATCCCGCAAACAAACTATCACCACCTTTTATTATTAGATTTGATTTGACTACCTTAATGGAGAATTGACAATCCATTGCACACTTTTGTTCTGTCTTTCTTTAAAAGTATGGAGGAGATTGATTTGGCTTGTCAAGATGCTGTCAATGGGGTACCATCAAGAAGGCCAGTTATCGAAATGACAATTCCTTCTGTATTGGACAAAACAATTTCTCCTCCTGGTACATGAAACTTTGTTTTTGATGCAACTTAATCTGTTGTAATTTCCTGTATTGGACAACACCATTGGAATGTTACCCTATCTTTGCAGGTAAGCATGTGATCAACTTGTTTGTCCAGTACACACCCTATAAGCCATCAGATGGAAGCTGGGGAGATTCTGCTTATAGAGTAAGTTAAATTGTTGAAATTTTAGCCTCTAATTCCAAGGTTGGGAACTTAAACATTACTGCGACCTTATAATTGGTCCCCCTGTGCCTGCTATCTAGGCTGAGTCTCTTAGTGTTTGACCAGAAGATCTCGTTTTTCTTCTTTTACAATGTCAGCTAGTAGTTATTACAGTCTTTAAGTTTTATACGTGATAATGCTTCTAATTTCTGATGCTACATGTGATTCTCACTTCCATCGAGTAAAAGGTGCAAACTTTCATGGAGTTGAATGTACTACATTTTCATTTTGCTGTCTAATCTTTTGTACTCTGAAAAAAAAAATGATCTGCTTTATAGGAATCATTTGCACAAAAATGTTTTAGCTTGATCGAGGAATATGCCCCTGGGTTCAGCTCATCAATCATTGGCTATGACATGTTGACTCCACCAGATCTTGAAAGGGAAATTGGTCTTACAGGTACCGTTTCGGCACCAATTATCTGCTTTTGGATCTTAGACAGGTCATTTCGTAACAATGAATGAGACAAGGAATACGGCCACGAAGTTACCGCCATTAGATAATTAGAATTAGGTCCTCGTAGTACACAATCTTCAAAAGATGATTTGTTTTTAAGCGATCAGTCTCAAATTTAACTGAACTCCAGATTCTCCAGGTTCTTAACAAGCTACTAAATTTCCTGATACTTGAATGGTTTCTTACAGGAGGGAATATATTCCACGGTGCTATGGGATTGGATTCCCTTTTCCTCATGCGACCAGTGAAAGGATGGTAACTCTAACAAGTAGATTTTTAAAGAGTAACAAATAGGATGCTGTTGCTAAAAATAAAAAATAAAAAATAAAAATCATGCATGGTATTCTAAACAAGTTATTTTTTCTTGACCATACAGGTCGAGCTATAGGACTCCTCTCCAGGGGCTGTATTTGTGTGGAAGCGGAACCCATCCAGGGGGTGGTGTGATGGGTGCACCTGGACGCAATGCTGCACATGTCGTTCTTCAAGATGTTGAAAAACCTTGAACCGATTCTATTGTTAAGGGTGTGTTTTGCATCGTTTTCAAAAAATTTAAACTTTTTTTTCTTGGTTAAAATAATTTTTTATATATATTATTAATTCATTTAGATATGTAGATGTTAAAAATAATTTTTAAAAATAAAATAATTTTATTTTAATATATTTTTAAATAAAAAACACTTTTAAATTATTATCCTGCTATTTCCAAACATGTCCTAATCGTTGTTTGTCTATACAGTATGAGCTTATGGTTTTTGATGATTGATCTGTTCTCTTATTTCCTTAAAATACACTTAAAATAACTTTATCCTAGGAATTGTTTCAAAGCCTAGACAACAAACTCATAAGCAGCTTAGCAATTAAGAAATGTGGCCCTTCCTGAAACAACATTTTAAAAAGTAGGGGTTCCCTCGCCTGTTCTAAGGCCTATTTCAATGCAAGAATGTTCGGAAATCACAAACGGGAAATATCATAGAACAAACAGCAGCAATACAAGGATTTTCCGATGGCTAGCCTTGAGCATCCAATTGTTACCGAGATAGTTAGCGACAAATCTAGATTATAGAATCTAAATCTCAGTTTAGCATTGAAAGAATTGCTAGTGCATCAAACTCCGTTTACTGCATGAGCTTGCATCAAAACTGTTTGACTGCCGTAACATTTTGAAGAGTCCATCGGTTATTCCAACATCGTTCTAGATAATGTATTACCGGCCCCGCCAACCAGAAACTGTTTTGGGGACTAATGAGATGGAATTTGAGGCTGCTTCTGACCTGCATCAATTTAGATATAATCCATTAACTCATCGTAGCCATGGACAATAACAGTACACACATAAGGAAGGGAGGGAAGACTTCGATATTTCTTCAACAGCTCTCATAACTTCTGTAGAACTTGTTTCCAACACTTGACCTCCAGAAATTATCTCATCTATAATAGCATGGAGCTGCAAAAGAAAGACGAAAGCTTAGTTTCAATAGAAAATATTTGCACGATACCACTGGCAAGTCGAACATTAAGAACTTCAGGTTATATGATCAAGTGAGAACTCCTAAAAAAATAGTCAATTGATTCGATGATGGTGATTTCCACAAGCAATTGGCAATAAAATCTCTAAAATGTACGCCCTCCTATCCAGTGGGTCGTTAAATAAATATACAATAATGTCGGTTGAGTACATTTTCTTCATCCTATTTGGAAGTTGAAAACCTAAATCCCAAAGCACTATCAGCGCAACAAAAAAGCTAAGAAGAAATGGGGAATCCACATACCTTGCTGTAATTGAACACAATGTCAAGCTCGCATACATTCCTGAAGCACTTGTCCAACGTTTCTACAAAAACTGAAAGGCGGGAGGGTTTACATAAGCGAAAAACACAAAAGGAATGTTAGCAATAAAATAAAGGAAGCACTTATATTTGTGGCAAGAACACGACCTATAAGCTTAATCTTTTGTCCTTCATAATGCAGGTTAAAAGGATACCAGGAGCTATCAACAATCTAAAAAGGGTCCTAAAAGTTGTCAACTGTACCGTTTCAAGTGCTAAATGAACATCCTCTTTGTGATTATATAAGAACAAATCCACTTCAGATGACAATAAATCTTCAGACCATAAACCATTTTGCCGCCAACCAAATGAACCAAAAATGCAGTTAAAGCAGTTGATGGGTTTTGATACATTGAAACATCCAGTTTTCCTCAAGTGGTTTTGCCTCTATCAAACAATTATCAATACCAGAGTTCAATTCTATACAATTCCAATGCCATTCAGCCCGCCTCCTTGCATCTTTCTCGCAGCTAAATCATTGGTTCATTCATTACTCCAAAATTCTCAAAATCCATCAGCCTCTCTACCATCTACCTTCCACTTGATAACAGCTAGCAATAAACCATTTTGCAATAATCCATTTTTTTCATATCATTCAATCATGATTAGTAAAAGTAGTAGTACCTTGTATGAGATCAAGCATCGCAAGCTCGTTCTCAGAACTATCAAACACAAAGACAAAGTACAATGTTGCATAATGTTTGTACACAAGACGACTATCCTGCCCACATAGAACAGAAAAATCATAGAAATCCCCAAATGCAAAGACAACCAACCGCAATCAAATCAAATCAAAATTCAGAAATGAAACAAAATAAGCAAATTTACCGGGCCGAAGATTGAATCAGCCTCCATGAAGTTGCTAACTTTCTCAGATCTACTACACAACACTACGGCACATAAAAATCAAAATCCAGAATCAGAAAATGACACAATCATCAACAGAAGAGCAATAAAAAAAGTGATCAGATCAATCTCAACCTCCAAATACACCGCGTATAAGCTCTTGCTGCTTCTCTACAGTCTGACATCATCAACGAAACAAAATTTTAATAATTTGTTCGTGAATCTTTATGAAAGAAAGTTTGTTAAAGAGAGAAATTGTTACCAAAAACTCGTAGAATTTGGTAAGGCGAGGTTTGCCTTGGGTGTTAATCACCAGCACCGCTTTTATCATGTTAGCTTTCTCAATATCTCGTGCCTCTTAATGATTCCTAGTTCCTGTGTTTCCAGCTTTTGGGTTATCTTCTCTCGCTCCCTGTTAGCTGTATGTATCTTATGTTATGATCTATGTCTCCTTCAGCCCTTCTCGAATGAAAGCTTGTTAGTAGATCCAGAAGAATCTTCTTATTCGTAGCTACAATCATCGATCCGAGGTGGATCTGGTTCAAGTCCAAGGCCTGGGTCCATAGTCAGGGAGACCGACTCAGGTGACCCTCATATTAATTTAAATTTTTTAAAAAGATTTAAAACCATATTGTTCTCATAAAAAAAAATCAGATTTTTTACTAGCCCAACACAAGCTAGATTTTGAATCTTATTGGGTTGATTTGTTGGACCGGATCTTATAAGAATGGATTTATTCAATCTGTCCCTAGAGATTTTACTATCTATACTTGCTATCAGCATTTAGCAAGGACCAAAGTATAAATAAGTTTTTTTTTTTCAAAGCAGGATAGTTTAAAAACTTAATTCCCAAAGCAAGGAGTTTTTAAGTTTATCTTTCAAATTAGGGTATATGTAAACTGCACATCAGCAATTTGCAGCCTTTCTTCTTTATAATATTAACAGGATTCTAACTAAATAAAAATTTTTATTCCAAATGTATTGATTAAATGAATAGAAAATAAAAGTAGTAAACTCTTTCTCATTCTGGTTATTGCAATCTAACTTTTAATGAAGTGTCAGCAATAATCCCACTGATCACTGTTTTCTTAAACAAGATTGAGGTTTAAAACAGAAAGTTAGCATGATCTTGATCATGCAACGATTGTGCAAGAGAGGTGTTCCATAAAAAAATTAAAAGAAATCCTTAGCTTTGTTATGATTTTTTTTTTTTATGGATTAAGCCTACTTATTGCATTCTAGCTTTTAATGAAGTGTCAGCAATAATTCCACTGATCTTTGTTTCCTTAAACAAGATTGAGGTTTAAAACACAAAGTTAGCATGATCTTCATCATGGGACGATTGTGCAAGAGAGGTGTTTCATAAAAAATTGAAAAGAAATCCTGAGCTTTGATGTGAATATATATATATATATATATATATATATAGAGTAAGCCTACTTATGAAGCTTAGATTATTCCATGCTTGAATTGGATCTAGTATTAACTAGATTTAACTCGATATGTAGGTGTTTTTAATGTCTAACTTGTTAAATGAGATTTAAAAAATTCTAATAGAAACTAGTTTTGTTAGGATATTTACCAATTGCTTTATTATTTTGACATATAAAACTTCAATAACTTTATTTTCTAACTTTTCATAAATGAAATTAGGATCGATTCTCACATTATCATATTGTATCTTAATTAATTATTGATTGATTGTCAATATATAACCTCATAGTATCACGAGATAAATAGCCCAACTCCTTCATCAAACATTTCAGCCATGACAATTCATACGCAGCCTTAACCATTGCTTCGTTATCAACCTCTAGAGTAGATAAGATTATTATATTTTTATTGTTTTATTTTTTTAATAAATAAATTTAATAAACACAATGGAATAAATATTTCTTGTTATAAAATCAAATATATTGATTTAGATCTATCTTTAATTTTTTTTAATAACTTTTTATTCATTTATTCATATAAATAATTATTGATTTATTTAGCTTATCTCCCAGTTAGAAGCCAGAAAAGAATGCAATCTCACTCCAAGTGGCATCATTCCCAAGCACAATTTCTTCAGATTTTGATTCAAAAAAACTAAGTATTTATCCCAAATACCCGATCAACAAGATGTAAGTGGGATCTCCATATTTTCCTTCTCAAGAGATTGGAGCAAAATGAAAAAAGAATTGCCAGTTCTCAGCATCAATTATCACGTTATAGTGAATCAGTAAATAATGAACATAAATGTTTCTCACTTTTTTCTCATATTTTTCTCCAGTAAGGCATTTAGCGATTTGCATACCCTTATTAATTTCAATTACTTCACATAAATAACGCACAACAAGAGCTACCTCCTATTACTGAAGGCTTAAACTGGCATGCCCATTATTTGATGAAGATTGTCTGGTCCTTTGATCATCACTTTTTTGCTGATGAACCTTCTGGGATTGCACCAGTATTTTGCTTCTGTTGATTTGATGCAGCTAAGAGAGACCTCACTAGCTCAAGCTCCCGGTCTTTATCTGACAAGGCCTTCTTAAGTTCTTTCACCTCCTTCAAAATATATAGCAATGTTGAAACTTTGAGTAATTAGTTGATATTTGATTAACGTCTGCAGAACTATATTCTTATTTAAGAATACAAAAAAGGAGTCTCACGAGCTTCAATTCATTTTCCACTTCAACACAGAGATGCAATTTGACTAATTTCCTGATACTAGTTGATTGAACTAATTTCGCTAGCAAATCACAAGTTTAATCTTGTTTAAATAGAAGGATGTGTAGTGTAAAAATCCTGCAAAAAAACTAGACAAAAAATAAAATAAAATGCATCTAGATATAAAACATTGGTGCATTTATAAATCTAATCCTTAGCTCACAGAGAATGTAAATTAGCAAGAACAAGAGAGGAGCTTAAGGTATTTCTTGTAAATAAAACAACACAACACGAATATATATGACATAAAAATTGTTTATAATAATAAAAAGTTGTTAGAGGGCTATATATATATAACAGACGACGATCAAACAAATAATTGATTTTGCACTTTTCCATAATACAATCTACATGAGGAAAAGAACAAGTAGAAAGGAAATTAGCATCATACCTCATCAGCACTCGACACTGACATGCCTGCCTTTCCTAGCTCATACCTTAATATAGCCAACGAGCATTGCCGTTGCTCCTCCTTTCTTGTTGAAAATTGCGAGGAAACATCATTGAATTTGACGTTAGAAATTCATGTAGTTATCGGTTAAAAAAAGCAAATGTTTTCTCAACACTAATAATTTAGGAATCATTTGAAGTTGCATTAATAATTACTTTTTAAAATGTTTTTTATTTATATAAAAATAATACCAATAATTACTTTTTAAAATGTTTTTTATTTATATAAAAATAATACCTTTTATTTTAAAAAAATTATTTTTGATATTAATATATTAAAATAATTTAAAAACATAAAAAAAATTAAAAATTTTATAAAACGCGACAAATAACTACAATATCAAATGAAAACTTTGGTGCAATGCCTATCCCCTATAAAGAAAAATTGAGATTCTTCGTCCAATTAAACATTAACACATGGCATTCAACAAACTATTAGAATTTTTCTATTTCCTTCTCTTCTCCAGAACGGAATCTCATAAGGGGACTGATTTGATGTAATTTAGAGTTAGAAATTTGATTTGTCACATACAAAGAGTAGAGGTTACCGAAAATGTAAAGAAAATATACAATTATGTTTTAGTAAATCTATTTTAAATCAAAAAAATCTACATATAGGTTTTTTAACATATTTTTGTAATTAAAATTTTTTAAAGTAAATATCAAAAAATTTATATATACATGTAATCAAATAAATCGAGAATTATGTGTGTTAATAGATAAAAAAACCATAAATAATAACTAAAAATTAAAATTAAAATTAAAATTAAAAAATTAAAAAATTAAAAAACAGACATGAATGAAGATATTTTATTTTATAAGTCAAGATATTTACCTAGTAGTATTTGCTAAAATTATTTCTTCAAATAATTTCTTTATTAAATCAAACAAAAATAAAAATATAGAGACATAAATTAAATTAATTGAACAAAATAAAAAGACAAAAAATATTATACAAGGCTGCACATATTAGAAGTATTATCCAAAAATATAATTTTTTTATTTTTAAAAATAAAATTCATCTATGCAAAAGATAAAAATAAATCATAGATCAATAAAAAAACAATCTTTAATATTTAAATATATAACAAAAAATAACTATCATTTAAAAGAAGTTTTCTAAAAAAAAAAGTATTAATTTAAATATAAAAAAAAATTAGAAAACAAAAACCATATAAAAAAACATTGATCTTCTAGCTCGTGAACCATGTTTGGTGTTTATTAATTTTAGGAATGCTTACCACCGTCAAATTCCAACAACTAAGACCTGGACGTCTTCAAATCTGAAGTATTCATACTGTTCACTCAAACCAAGATGTAGCATAAGAAAGCTGACATGAGTGAGCAGCTCTCCACCTCTCCTCAGTTGCTGGGTATGTTCTTTCCATGGGCAATGAGCTGCAGCATAACAAAGCATTTCTATCCAAACTTCATTTATCATCTTCCATCGCTTCTCGAGTCCCAATGACCGCAATTGCCTGGCGAGCCAATACCCGCCATCTAGCACTGACTTGGTTGTTCTCCAGTCGCTCAGAAAGTCACTCTCAGCAGCAGTATTGTATCGACAACATCGTTCTTACTTAGTGCCTTCTTGCCTGTTTCAATGACTTTTCCTAAAAGCGCCAGGTCCTGGCAAGTATCTAGATATCCCTTCTCTATATCACCGATTCCTTTAGGGAGCATATTTGGTCTCGCCACCAGAAGATACATCATGTATTCAGACAAGCATTTGCTTGTTTCGCAGTCTGAAGGGACATTATTATTTGCATCGTTATCAGCAAAATAGCAAATATCTGTTGCGAGGTGCCAGACAAGAAGGCTCCGGCTGAATTCTACTTCAGTTGTACACCACTTGAAGTCATGTAATTGTCCCTCTCTTTCTAGCACACCATCTCCTCTCTCATCAATTATTTTCCTTCTGAAATTTGTATCAATGAAATTAAAATTCTCCTTGATCTTCTCGCATTTCTTTTGAAGGTGTTCGAAAATAGAATTCTCATCAACATTCATATCTTCGCGATTCACATACACCTGCCTCGTCATTTCAAGGATTCCGAGCAATTCCAAACAATATTTAAGTGGCTTGTTTTCAATGCAAAAGCTTATCAGGTTATGCTGTGCTATGGATCTCGACCACCTCTTGCTTCTAGTTAACTTCCTTATCAGAGAATAAATAGCTCTAGTTAGGGCGTTCCCTCCTCCATCAATCAACCAAATCATTGTCCAGTCAGAGAAAACAAGGCATGAAAAGGCATAAATCTCGTGAAAAGCGGAGCCCGCAAACAATACATACGTAATTGCAATGTCGATTGTTGAGTAGGCATGCTTGTCAATCATGACTTGGAAGGTAATAAAAGCAGTAATAAAGAGTAAAAAGCTGATAGAGCGAAGAATGATTCCGACAAGGGAGTAAATCAGGGGCGCTTTAGTATAAAGAATGTCATATATTAATCCAAGCTCAACTTCTATTACCTTGAAGGCATCGTCTGCTGAATTTGAGGAAATCAGCAACTGGCTGTTCATTAGTGCAGGAATACCAGGGACAAGATCCTGCATCATAAACATGGATATATCGAAGAAGGTATAAGCTCGACGAAGATAATTTCCTCCGAGAGCTCGTTGAAGAGTTTCTGGTGCCCTTAATGGGTGTCGAAATTTTGAGAGAATGGTGTTTTTCAAGCTCTTGGAGCATGAAGACCTGAGCACCCAGGTCCTCTCTGCGTACTTTATAATGCCAACAATGAGCATCGGGATCGCTATGAATGCGAGGATACCGCTGCCGCAAGACCTTGAGAAAACCTGCAGAGCCACTCCGACTTGGACTGCAAGACCAAGGAAGTGCCTTAACCACAACTCGTTATCTTCAATTGAGTATGCAGTGATTGTGTCTGGGCCACCAAGGTGCAGGAGTAGAAAAGGAGCCCAAAATTCCTGGATTAAATTGTTTGCTTTATTTGAACCGTCTCCTGCTGA